AATGGGAGATAAGGAGAAATTCGCAAACACATGCTGTGTATGTGTTTCATGACAAATACCTAACCGAAGCTGTGTAAGAATGCAAGGATCTCTTCTTCTTCTTCTTCTTCTTCTTCTTCTTCTTCTTCTTCTTCTTCTTCTTCTTCTTCTTCTTCTTCTTCTTCTTCTTCTTCTTCTTCTTCTTCTTCTTTCTTCTTCTTCTTCTTCTTTTCTTCTTCTTCTTCTTCTTCTTTCTCTTCTTCTTCTTCTTCTTTTCTTCTTCTTCTTTTGAAAACTATATTGTTATGAGTCTACCAGGCCATCGTTTTTCACAACATGCAGCATCCAAATGTTGTGTATTAGTAGCCATGTAATAGCAATGCGTTTTTTCTGTGGGTCCAAAAGTCTGATATTTACCTTTTTATTGCATAATCTCTTTTTAGTGCTTTGAATTTAAAAAAAAATTATGAATTTAATGGGAATTGTTTTTCTTTTTGAAGTCATATTAAAATGTTTTAACATTTAGTTGCTGAAGGATGGAATGGGTTTAAATCAAAGTAATGAAATTCATTCCATTTTAAGAAGATTTAGTTTGAATGTTCACCATGTGCTTTTTTCCTGCAGTCATACAGGAACTCACAAAACAGATTACACATAGCTGCGAACCTTTGATTGCCTCACAATTGGAGCCTACATTGAATGCCAAAATAGTACTTTAACATAAAAAAAATCAGGATCGTAAACACCACTTTATCTTTCCAGAAAGAGCGCTTGAACAAATACACTGTCTGCTCATTTAGTACTGTATGGCTTAACACCTAAATGCCTAAATGCTGTCTACACAGAGCAGCAAAAGAGTTTTCCTATTATGTTATGTGCGTGAAATATCAATTATTTTATTGATCTGACATTTTTAAAACAATCAAAGAAGGCAACAAAAAAGGGGCAGTAAGGGTTACGAAAGATCCTTCTCAGGTTTTGTGCAGCCTGGGACCTGTTTGCTTGGTGTGTCCTTTCACCCAGATGCCAGCTTGTAGTAATGGTGGGGAGGAGCAACTGACTGACAAGTGCCTTCCAAAACCAAGCTCACTAAACATACTGGATATTTTGTGTCATCTTTGATTACAATATTATTGCAAAACCTTGTAAAGTTATAATAAAAAGAGCAATTCAGAGGCATAACAGCATTATATTAAACAATAATCTGAGCAATTAAGTGTGGCTCAGCACACAGACAAAAAGTAAACTTTTTGAAAAGTGCACAGGTTTCACAACACCAATGTATTCATCGTTTCCTTTAAAAATCTTTGCAAACATGCAATGCATTTGCAGTCCTTGATGTTTGAGTTTATGCTTCATAATTAATTTAGACTAGAAGGGTGTGTTCTTACATGAAAGTAAAACAATTTAAAATAATGTGAATTTATAAACTCAAAATGTCATGTTTCTCCTCTCATTAAGCTGAACTATGTTTTCAAATTAAAATAAATTCATAGCAGCATTATAAAAAGTTGTGTGTTTATTATGATCAAACCTTTAATGGCAGTCTCATTTTACATTTAGAGTGAATACACTTTGTGGAAATATCACTCTTGTCCTGATGACACAGCCTATAGCTTCCTGTCAGAGCCCAGGGTCTCTGTTAGTGAAATATGGGCCCATGGGTGATATATTTAACCCTGCTGGGGCAGCTCCCCCTTTTTGAGTCTGCTCCTGGAGTTCCTGAGTAGGGGGAGTTGTCCGGACAGGGGAGGTGTGCATGTGGAGGCCCAGATAGGGCCAGTGTAACCTTTCCTCCAGATTCCCTAACTAAGTTGAAGCGGCCTGCCCCACTTATATCACAAACAGGCTGCTGTGCTCAGGCCCGGGCTGCCTGTCATGCCGGCGTGCTAACTGGTTTTCCCCGTAACTCCTCCCTCTTCCCCTCTCCTCTGCTAACTGCTGGCACTGCAGCTTCAAGCACTCATTGCTCCCGAGGTCATGCTTATGTGAGTCACACTGGCACGGCCTCCGTTAACAGCCAGGCGCAGCCAGGGCCGGGCCGGGGCAACACACCTGCTACACTCCCTTTGGCTGCAGGCAAGCTGCAGACAAACACCAATCAACTCATTTCACACAATAATCATATGAGCTTTGTATAATAGAAGGATAAATCAGAAACAATACAAAACATTTCAATGTTCTGAGGCTCATGAAAATGAAACAAGAACTACTTTTGTTTTAACAAAAGTATCTTGTTTGTATTGAATTGTTCATACTTCCAAACTTTGATTGGAGCCTTTTTTTATTTCATGGCTTCTAGAAGTTCAATGGGACTTTTGACACATTTTCTCTTTGTTAAAATGCAGTTGGTGATATAACAGCATATCCAGGTCAAGATTAATTTGATCCCTATTACATGTACTTGTGGGAATGAGCTAAGACATTGTCAGACACTAGACCACAGGAAAAGCAGCCCAACATATGCTTGAATATATTTAGTATCACTAAAACATTGTCCTTCTTTTCTCTGCACCCAGGACAAAATGTTCGTCAGTTCAGATCAGTGCAGTAAACCTACATCTGTAGACTCACATGTAAAATGCATTGTCTGAAAATTTAACAATAATAATAATAACAAATCTAATATTGTATACTATATAAAGGGGTTGACTTCACGTAAGACATTTCTTAAAGGGGTGACAAAGCCCACAGACCAAACAAGTTTCAAGATTATGAACAATAGTGGGATATACCAGGTACATTTTAGCATAATGTATGTATAATTTCCAATATACTTAATGGATGATCATGTGTTACCTGTGGGACCACAAACACATGGATGCATGTCATTTTTAACAGGGATAAAGTTGATGTGCTTTTTATGTAAGAAAGCTGCACTAACAGCTCAAAAAAACAATACAGGAACCCGCGCTTCATCTGGACATTGGTGATGCATTCAAGACTGTGGGAAAGGTGGTCAAAATTATTTTGCTTCTGATCTGGCTTCCAAGTGGACAATGAAGCTTGAAAAATATATGTTTCTTTGGGTCGATCTTTTCATATGTGAAAAAAAATCAGTTAAATCAATGAAAATATGGTAATCTCTAATAAGCTAACACATCAAGTGTTGATTATGAGTATCTACTGAGTCCTTACTTCAAGAGACTTAAATCTATGGCCATAAATATTTTCTTAAAAAAAGAAAATACAGTTTAACGTCACAGACTTGCACATACTTATAATGATAACAATACATGGGCTTATTGACATTAACCCAAATAGATCACTGATGTAAAATTAAGCATTTTTTTCATGTTTCCTACAACATCTGATCTAAAAATGTCATTAGAAATGGAATACCTCCTACTGGAAATGTAGATCTTATATCACGTCAGATTAAACCAAAACATCTTGCTCAATAACATTACATTACATTGCATTTAGCTGATGCTTGCATCCAAAGCGACTTACAATTAGTGCATTTGACCAAGAAGATACAAACTTGAAGAAAACAGAATCAGTACATCAGGTTTCATAGAGCCAACACATTTCAAGTACTACTCAACTGGCTTTAGATAAGCCAGTCCTTTATTAGTATATAAGTGCTTTGTTAGTAATTATATCGCTCGAAGTGGAGTCGAAAGAGATGAGTTTTCAGTCTGCCCCGGAAGATGTGTATGCTTTCTGCTGTAAAACAGACAGCAATAAAACAGGAAACATTTTTTCCTGGATTTTTTTAATCCACATGGAGCCACATGACTGACTACTGTATATGGCCTTAGCAATAGATCCTTAGGTTTGAAATCCTAAAAAACTATGCACACGGTACATTTTAACATCCCTTGCAGGTCTTACTGCAGAACCAACCATTTCTAAATGGTTCCCCATATCTGCAGAAGCACTTTACAAAAACAAAGCACTTACTAAAACTGCATGTTACTTTATGTCACGTACCTTACTACTCTAACTTTACAATAGATTTGACTGTTATTGTCTTGGATCCAAAGATGTAGTCAATGTAACGTTTTATGCGCTAGGAGTTATAAACTATGACGCAGATGCTATGTGTTTTTATGCATTTAGGTTGTTGTGCGGTGATGGTTTGTAGACTAAGGAAAATTACACATTTTGGTTTATACAATTTGTTTTATCACAAGGCTACTGTCTAGTCCTGACACTTTGGCTGTAATTGCAACTTATTTTTATCAAAATATACTAATATGGTGGAAGAAGTACTCAGATCTTGTATTTATGTAACAGAAGAACTATCAAAGTGTAGGAATACTATATTACAAGTCCTGCAATCAAAATGTTACTCAAGTAAAAGTACAAAAGTATTAGCATCAAAAAGTATGCATTATGCACATTTGCCCATTTCAGACGAATATATATTATATGTTTTGATTATAATTATTGATGCATTAATGTGTTATCAAAGCTTGTAAACGTGGAGCGTTTACTTAGTTTATTTCTTTGTATACTGCAGGGTATCTTGTGAATTTTACTCTAGGTGTAATTTAAGTCTTATTTAAATGTTGATTATATATTTCAAATCCTTAATCCAAATCTGCAATGTAACTAAAGGTAAATAAATGTACTGGTGTAAAAGTACACTATTAACATCTGAATTGTAGTGGAGTAGAAGTACTTACGTTTTGGAGTACTAAAGTTCAGTACTTGAGTGAACGTACTTAATTTTCTTTGTTTGTCTGACTTATAAGAAGTTGCATAAACCATGATGTATTTTCCACCACGTTGTTCCCACATCCCTTGAACGCAGCATAGACTCGATCGACCTTTCGCCCAGTTTAGCGTGCGGCAGTTCATCGGGTTTACCCTGACACTGCTGACTCTACAGGCCACGCCCACCAACGGCCACGCACCCTATTTCCTCCAACCGTCCTGCGAGCATGCACTGTTCACGCGTTCTCTGCTCTCCCATTGGCTGGAGCTCCGCACACACTTAATTGTGATTGGCCAAGTGTTGCCACCCGCCAGTGCGTGTTGTGAGTTTTGTTTTCCTTTTTTTTCTCCTCCCCATGTTTTACACACACAGCTGAGAGAAAAGAGAGCCAGTCAGAGAAAAAAAACGACCTCAACCCTTCCCCAGTGCAGACAGCAGCACTGGCAAGCGCCGTCTCTTTGTTCTCTACGGGCTTTGACAACAAAAAAGTGATATTTAGACATTTTATTCCTCAATGCCAGCGCGAAGATTTACAGAGATGGACTCAAACGGGGTAAGTTTATTATTATTATTATTTTATTTTATTGTTTTACTATAATTAAGCTTAGGTGCGACATTTATTTTGCAGTTCAGTAACAACACTTGTTTACTGAGGGATTTGATATTTGAGAACTAAGGCGAAGTCGTCAGCTGATTTCAATGTATCTGTACTATTATATTGAAACATTTTTGTGTCACGTCAACGTCCCAATAAACTGTATTAAATTAAAGTTAACACTTTACTTTTAAATAATATGTATTTATCAATTTAGTTTTAAAGTAATAACCTACGTTTATATGATAATATTACATGTAGCCTAACTTAAACAAATACGGAAGCTTTTCAATGTTGAGAAATTGTTTAGCCCGATTTTGCTTTTGTGACGGATGAGTATATGCGTTTGTTTACTCTAAAAATGAATACGAAAAGTAATAACGTAATACACCTACTTCCTGATGCGAACCGCTTTATGGGGATTTCACATGGCTCATCTCGGCAGCACGTCACTGTTTGGTCTATATTTGGCGATGGGAGGCGTCCTGGCCCCGAGCCAGAGGCAGTGCATGCTGGGCTGGGGTGTAGTCACCAACTCCCCCTCTCCTCTATCGGACGCATCGTGCAGTTTCTCTGGGAATTTTAGTTTGGGGAAACAGTGACAGAGCAGATGATTACTGCAAATACACATGTTACCCCCTTTCCTGTCAACAGAATAACAGGGGCTTTCCTATGTTTGAGTTACTGTCATGATCAAATATGAGTCAAAGTTGAAATCAACAAGGTGACTCATGCAGTTGTGACTTACCCAATGATGTGGCGATACTGAAGTACTTTTTGTTTCCCTGCCTTTGTCTGAAGTTTATTTATTTGTTCTTTTCAGACTGAGTACATGGATCATTTTGGGTCCTATGCAAAGAGAAGGAGGCATGACAGTGAACAGTCTGTCCTGGAGTACACAGACCTGGAGGCAGCCGAGGCGTTGGTGTGTATGAGCTCTTGGGGCCAGAGTCACTTCCTCGGCAGCAGCAGCAGGCCGAACCCCTGCAAGCCCAGACCCCTCACACCGGCTTCAGACTCCTGTGACTCCCTCATGCCGCCAGAACTTCCAGAGCCCCCAAAGGACTTTGTGTCCCTCTCCTCCTTGGTAAGTGACTCATCCTGATGTACAGGTGTCAAACCATGGGAAAATAAGTTAGGTTCATGCAGTCGATAAGTGCATTCTCATCCACCCCTTATTATGTGCAATATAGTTTGCAAATAAAGGATGAGTTACATGAAGCATGTGACTTCAACATCCACTGAAGCTGCTGCTCCGTTTAAGAGACCAAAGACAGCTCCACATAGATCTTTGTACATTTTCTCACACACAAATCGTTAAATTATAAACTATAGTGAATATGAACAGGCATTCATTCACAATTCAATTTGAAGGTTTTCTCAAAATGTTGTTAGAATTTGCGATATTTTATTATGAAGAAAACCATATGACTTTTAATATGAAAGTGTAAAGATAACAAGTTTATGACATGCGGCTGGTCATGTAGTTCCTCCTCTGAGAGACAGGGTGATAAAAAGCTCTATAGCTCTTGATAATCTTTCCTGTGTTTCCCTCCCTTTCTTCTGCAGTGTATGACTCCCCCTCATAGCCCAAGCTTCGTTGAGGCGTCCAGCACTGCTGTGTCCTCACAGCACTGTTCCGGCCTCCACCAACCTGCCCTGGCACCCATTGCTGAAAAGACCCCCTCCCTCCCCCCTCAGCCACAGCCCTGCAGAGCCATGGCGACGAGTGTCATCCGCCACACCGCAGACAGCACCCCCTGCCAACACCACATTCCAGTGGCCCCCGATACAAAGAAAACAAGACACACAGTAATGGCTGCGACACTCTGCCAGCAGCACCTCATTACAAAAACTGAGCAGATAACCACACCTCCATCTCCCCCTGCTCCTCTCACACGCACATTATCAGCCTCAGGAATGGAGCAGCATGCCAGTCTCTCAAAACTCTATTTGAACAGTGTCTCCACCCCCACTCCTGTCAATATGCAAATGCGGAACGGCCCCCCTGCTCCCACGACCCTGTCACTGCCCTCAATCCCCAGCCCTCAAATCATCTGCCAGATGTTCCCCGTCAGCAGCCAATCGGGTATAATCTCAGCCTTCATCCCCGGTGTTCAAACGTGCCATTCTGGGATTCGGACCACCACCACACCAATCCTCCCCCAGCGCACTTCAGTAAACGGAGCCCCCGTCCAGCAGTCCCTCATCATGGGCTCAGCGGTGCCCCAGGGCACGGTGATGCTGGTCCTCCCTCAGTCCTCTGTCTCTCAGGCCCATCACTGCCCTCAGACTGTCATGACCCTGGGCAACACCAAGCTGCTGCCCCTGGCCCCGGCCCCTGTGTACGTGCCAGCTGGGCCCAGCGGAAGTGCGGTAGCCACAAAGATGGACTTTTCCCGCAGGAGAAACTATGTCTGCAACTTCCCGGGCTGCAGAAAGACGTACTTCAAGAGCTCACACCTCAAGGCTCACCTGAGAACACACACAGGTGAGAAAAACATTGGGCAAGTGGTGGAGTCAGAGTCAGGAATAATAACTGTCCAGTTTATTTTAGTGGAGGTCTATGTTTGTTGGCAGTCTCAAAAGCACCCAAGGCACTGTGATTGTGAGTTCAAAATCCTTCATTGTACATAGATAATAATCCTTTATCTTATCATGGGATGCTTTTCACACTTCCAATAAACAGGTTATGGGGTTAACGTAATATAGAAGTGTTGAGCTTGTTTGTAACTGAGGATGTGGAATAAAACACGACCACAGATGAGTGTTGCATCCTGTTTGTTACACTTTCTTGGCTTTGTTATTCTTGAGTGAGCTCATTGTTCTGTCTCCTATCCTAAAGGGTGATCTGTGAAGTTTTTATGACTGCTATCTGACTCACTTGCTGACTCCCTGCTCTCCCTGTATCCTCCCTTTAGGTGAGAAACCTTTCAGCTGCAGCTGGGACGGCTGTGATAAGAGGTTTGCCCGCTCCGACGAGCTCTCCCGTCACCGGCGAACACACACCGGGGAGAAAAAGTTTGTGTGTCCCGTGTGTGACCGGCGATTCATGCGCAGTGATCACCTCACCAAACACGCTCGCCGCCACATGACCACCAAGAAAATTCCTTCCTGGCAGGCTGACGTTCGTAGCCTGAACAAGATGGTCGCCGGCAAAACGCCTGTCTCAAAGCCCGGACTTGCCACAATCAGCATGCTGGTACCTGCCGGCACCAAGTAGACTATAATCATCCTACTTTCTACCAAGATACCACAGGGACACATGCAGGGAGCAGCCAAGCACACAAGGCTGCTGCTGTTTAACTCATGGGAATGATAGAAAAAACATGCACTGGACTCTTTTTTTCTCTCTACTGCTCATTTGTACAATTTTCTTTAAAGGATTCTTTGTTTACTATGATATTAATGCACTCTTGCCAAAGCCTTTGTATGAAGTTTGTCTTATTCATTTCACTTTCTCTAGCTCTCCTGCAACACTTTCTCTTTGTTTGTGTTGATACTGATAGATATACATATATGTCTATGTGAATGTATTGTTTGTTGTACTATGAAATGCATTTATTTGTCATATTTGGGAAAACATGATAAACAATGTAAATATGAATATTAATTATCAGTACTTCGATTGTACCATAATTATATCTCCCTGTCTAACTTTTCATATTATTTAATACATATTTGTAATAAAAGAAAAAATATTAAATGAGTCAATCTTTGCTGATTTTGTGACCTTTCAAATATCTTATCCGGGAACAAATAAAGTTATATTCAGCAATCTTTTACAGTTGTCTCATTCAGAAATGCAGTGAGGAGGACGTTCCCATATCCTGTGTGTGTCACGCTGCGACTCCCCCACCACCGCCCTCTTTTGGTCCGCTGGCTGAATTAATTGTTGGTGTTATAAAATCTCTCGGTGGGATCATCTGGGGACATTGGGTCTCAGAGCCAAATTGCTGTTGAGTCAGGAGACAAGACAGACATTTGTTTTTCTTGTTTTGGAGGTAAATAACTGATCATTTAAGTCCATTCAGCACTATCACATGTGGGCTAGGAACCGGTGGGGCTGTTGCATAATACACCAGGGTTTTATTGACTTAAAATCTCTCCTAAGTCTGGTATAATTTAGCAAACTACTCATGTTCTTGTGTTTAGTGGCTACAGAAAAAGTGTCTCAGACTCACTATAACAATTATCATAAGAATAGTTAGTATTTAAAATTAAGAAATACAATTAGTGTGGGACAAAGTACTATTTTTTCAGTAATATTTTAGTAGCAATACCACATTGTAATACAAGATTCAAGGTTCTTTATTTAGTCATATGAACATAGCTACAGTGTAGTTATGCCGATGAAAATCTTGTGTCACAGGCTTCTCCAACAAAGCAACACAAAACACAGATAAACAGAACAAATACAGTGCAAGTAAATAGTAAAATAGTGAAATAGTGCAATAAGAGTCTATATGCAAGTTATTGAAATTGGATATAGGTAAATAGATAAATAATTTTAAAATATTTTTTAAATAGCAGCCAGATGAATATTAGGGATGTTGTTTCAACTGTTCAGGTGTTTAACATATTTTGCTTCAACATTTCAGGTGTATACTACTGTGAATCCAAAACTGAATATAATATAATGTAATTTAAAATATAATTATTTGCTGGACAGGTGTATAGTAAAATATCAACGGATGTATTTTAGTAAATGTGTATGTATAACAGTACAAATGAAAGGATACGATTGTCCTTTTCACAGGTTCTATCTTTTACAATCATTTTCTACTATCATTAGGGCCAAAATGCAGAGTTAGAAAGGTTTTAAGCCAATAAAAATAGGGAAACATCTGTGAAAATGTTGTACAGTAAACAATGGCAATAAAAACGTTAAGATGCTGCTATAGAGCAAAACGCGTTTCTCTCTGCTTCTGATGCTGCTGCTACTCATTCATAAGCACTGTGGTCCCATACCCCAGTAACAGCACACCTCTCCCAATCAGACAGGGAGAAATATCAACTATTGGGGGTGCGACCAATCAGCTCTCTTCCCTGCACACCAGCCCCTCCCCTTTGCCCTTACTGACCGACTTCCCCAATGCACGCATGCAGCCTGAGCGCTGCCCTACACTGACATCTGCTGGTGGGTTTCTTTCATTTAAACATTTACACAACATTCTACAAAAAGTGGTTCAGGTTTTTCCTATATTTGTGTTTTATGCCTTCGTTATAAAACACAAATATCCAGCCCAGTAACAAAACAAAAAATGATGCAACACGACGAATTAGATAATATTAAGTGAGAAAAGAATACAAAATAAGGAAATAGGTCGCAATTACTATAACTAATTGAGACTAAGACTCAGAGACTGCACATTACTTTAAAATGACACTTGATAGGTGACATTCTAGCAAAAACCATGCAACTGACGAAAATGCACCAGTGTATTTATCTAACTTAAGTAAAATCATCTTTCAAAATACATTTTTTTAAAGTATCATTTTCAAGTTGCATGACAAATATGTTTCATACAATTGTCATCAAATTATTCCAGTAATTGTGTGAAAGTGTCACCATGCAGGCTACAGCCACCAAAACAATCGTTTCTCGCGGACACATTTCCCTGTAGCACCTATCGCGTTACTATGGATACATCGACACAACTGGGACCGTTTGTTGCCAACAAGAGGTAACAGGAGATAAAATACATGGAAATTGACATAAAGCGACATCAAACTGTAAATTATCTGCGACAATAGCTTGTAAAACGTTTTCGATTTCTATTTATAAAAGTTTAGTTTAAGAAAGCTGTGTTGCTGTTAACTTCACCTGCGTCAATATTACTCCTCGAAACCGTCAACATGGCGGCTGTAGACAAGCTGAAAGAACTAAACATCACCGTGGATGAAATCGACAGACTGTCAAAAGCTTTCAAAGACGAGAAATTCAAGGAGATGCTGTTCGATTACGCCCATGAGTTATCAGACCCTGAAAATAAGAAAAGGTATGAAGAGGAGATCAAACTTCTGGAGCAGGAGAGAGGAAACACGATTGAATTCATCCACCCGAAACCGTCCAGGGTTCTCAAGACGAGTGTGAACGGCAAGCAAAAGTGTTTTATCAACATCTGCAGCAATGACAAAGTTGGGAAACCTGAACGTAAATTGGGGGTGTCCGAGGAAGGGCGCAGGGGACAATGCTGGGCCCTGCCCCACAGTCTGCACCCAGGGAGGCAGGACACAGATCCAAAGGGGAACAAGATCATGATCTATGACGTCATCTTCCATCCTGACACTCTCCACCTTGCGAGCAGAAACAGAGGATTTACCAATATGGTGGACAGCACAGCCATTCAGGGAATCCAGGATCATTTTAAAGTGACTCTGGATAAAAACAACGTGAGGGAGATCAAATCAAAATACAAAGGCCTGCCACAGCCCTGTGTCATCCGAAAACCCATACCTGGTTATAAAATGCCATCAGAGGAGCCAGACCCTCTTGCATTCCCATACCCAGATGAAAAGAGACCTACCCCGCAAACTAAGCCCACAAAATCACCTGCATCAAAAAACATAAACGAGGCTACACCTAAAAGCATCCCGCCTCAGAAAGTCAAAGAGCCTACAAAGCCAAACTACACCGTTAAATATCGGTCGTTTACGGATATACAGGACTTCAGATATGCTCGAGACTCGGCCCAAAGCCCCAGGCCCAAAGAGATAGTGGTTACCATCGACATGCCTCTTCTGAAGGCCGCCACAGAGGCCAGCCTCGAGGTGAAAGAGTGTCGGCTGATGCTGCTGGAGTCCAAGGAACCAGCCTATAGACTGGAGTTGCCCTTAGCTTATCCTGTGGATGAAGATAAAGGAGAGGCCAAGTTCAACAAACAGAAACAACAGCTCACAGTCACACTGCCCGTTCTCCCTTCTAAGGAAGCTTTTGATTTTCATCTAGGGCCTGCTCAGAGTAGTGTTAGTGATGTTAGTGAGAGGCAAGAGGAGAATACTGAGATGAAAGAGGAGGACAAATGCATTGAGGAGGATTTGAGAAACCAGACAGGGGAGGAGGAAGTTGAAGAAGAGAGAGGTCAGGAGATAGGAGAGGAGCAGATGAGCGAAGGCCAGGAATCTGTAGGAGAGAAGGATACGTGGAGAAAGCAGAAGAGGGAAGGAGAAAATACTCAAGAGGAAATCAGTGTGGAGGAGGAGGCAGAATGCAAAGAAGTGAAAGAAAAAGGCCAAGAAGGTGTGGTGGAGGACACATTGAAAAAGCAGAAGGAAGAAAGTCTAATAGAAGTTGGAGACTTTAACCTAGAGAAAAATGAGACCCATGGAGATAAAAATGAGACCCATGGAGGTCAAAAGGATCCCGTTCTTACGGGTTTTGAGGACGACACTGTTGATGCTTCTGCTGAAGGAGAGAACGCATTACCTGTGGAGGACGAGCTTGTGGCCTCACCTGAAACAGAAAACCAGCCTGTTTTAATCCCTGCTGAACATTCAAGCTCCATAGGAACAGAGGGAGGAGTGCATCAGAATTCTTGTTTGGAGTCACCACCTAAACTAAAGACTTCAGACATCAACGCGGAGACTGGAAAGAAAAATGATCATGTAAGTGGAGATGAGGTGAGACAAATCCTGACACATCCCCAACAATCCTATTGACCTGAAAGTAAAAAGTGTGTGTGATCAAACTAATCTGCTTATGTAGTTTTATATATCCTTGTTTTTTTCTTAAGGTGGAAGATGCGTCATTTCTATACGACAGATCCGGTGAGGAATCCCAAACCTTCTTAGACGCTAACGCTGAAAACAACATAAAGGGGTGCGACATTCCCCAGGAGTCCAGCGAGATGCCTGCAGCAGAGGAAGCAACCAAGTCAAGCAGAGGAGATTCGGAAGACGGGGCCCCCCCCTCCCCTGAGGAATCGAGGGGGGGCGTGGATGAAGACGACCTGCCGACGGAGCAAATCTTCCGGCCTAAGAAGAGCAGGACACCACCTGCGTTATTGAGGGAGATTGATGAAGATGGGAATGAAACGGTCATCAGCGATCATTCCACATCTGCTGGGTTCATCTTTCAAAACTCCCTGATGTTTGAGCTGGACTGAGGAGAGTGTGCAAATGTTTTTAATGCCAGTATTTATAGGGAATCTGCAGTGTGTCGAACAATAAAACATCTTCATATTTTCAATACCTGACCTTTCTCTTCAGTATTTTAATGTATGACAAATTCATCTCTTCCCAGAAAAAAATACTTTGGACAAAAAGTTGTTATTTTATTTGATTAAATTCACATTTATATACAATTGTGGGTTGTAATAAACAGTAAAACCAACTCCCATAGGCTAACACACACTGACTGAGGCACTGTGTTCAGGAAAAATATCTAATTTCTTTATTCCCCTGCCGAGTAGAAGTAGGCCAAGTAGGAGAGTCTGAAGTTTCTGAAGATGACACTTTATGTCAGTGCTGCTGCCCACTATCATTGTATAAACTCAGTGCCTCTCAGTTACAGATGGAGCCGGTTGCTGGGAACTGCATTATAATAGAGCGTTAGTGTTATAACCCTCTTGAAGCACTTTTAAAAAGTCAAAATCCACTTAAAGGCAGAACAAGAAAACTGTATCGTCCAACAGTATCTCAAATCCAAAATCCACAGCAGTTCTGGTGTGTTTTTTGTCTGAAAAAAGCGTTTGTTCTTCATCATCTGATTCCTCTCTGGAGGGACTTGTCTAAAAACTCAGAGTAGCAGGATAGGGAGCAGAAGTGCTGCTGCACCGGAGCATCTGTGCCCCCCATGTCGTCCACCAGGACCACCGTGTGGGACACCTGGTGCAGGTTCATGCTGACCGCCGTCTTGATGAAGTAATTGAGGCAGACACGGCCACACTCGCAGGTCTTCGCTACTTCCAGGTCCCGACACAGGTGGGCCGGGATGAGGTGAGGTCCGTATGGTAACCTGAGAGGAGAGTAAACAAAAAAACAGTTAGGAGTTATCTGTAGGTACAAAAAATGCAAAGCTCAACTTTTCTGAAATTGTAGAGGCTTTATGTACCTTTACATACAAAAAGTAAAAGATTAAGATCAAGCAGTATCTTTACAAGAAAACACTTTTTTGATGAGGTTATTTAGAATCAGAAATCCTTTACTCGTCCCACAGAGGGGACATTTACATTTGTTACAGCAAGTAAAGAGACAAATATAGCTTAGTATTAATTAAGAAGCATGCATACAAATACTAAAGATAAAAGTAGAAATTACACAATTTGCATCATACACATCCGGTACCAGTAACAGTTTTTGAAATATAGCAGTCAGGTGAAAGTATTAAAGGTGGAAGTATATATATTGCACATTTACGGTAGATATATATTGCACATAAGTGGTATTCCACAACAGGGGTGTTTTACGAGTGTGTGTGGGGGGGGGGGGCCATGATGGTTGTAAAGTAAAGTTCCAACCTTGGAAATATAGCACTGTGGTTCAAAAAGCCCTCAAGTTAATATTTTAAATACATTTTGACTCTTATTTTTGTGAATTTTAACATTTTCTCTCTTACAAATGTATGATTGACCTCGCAATATATTCAAAGTGAATATGTGACTCTAATCTCGGAGAATACACAGAAATGTCAGTCATTTTCTCTAAATAATACCCCTTCCCCTGACCCCTATTTCAACATACAAATATAGATCTTTAAATCTACAGTGGCCCTAATGCGTACAAAGAGTATGACATACTGAATATGTTCAATTCTCACCTGAGGTTGGCCACAGCTCTGGTAGCCAGCTCTTGCAGTGGAAGGGGGAACGTGAGTTTCATGGTGTGGTCCAGAGGGTTAGGTTGGACGAACGGATTTCCAAACAGGTCCAGGTTTTCCAGACTCAGCTTACGGAAGTCACCCGGCAACACAGCTAGCTGGTTATGCGCCGCGGACAGGAACCTCAGCGAGGAGAGCCGGCCCACGTGGAACGGCAGACAGACGAGCTCGTTGTCGTCCAGTTTGAGGTTCACCAGTTTTTTGAGCTGGCAGAACTGAGCGGGGAGGGAGCGCAGGCGGTTCTGGCTGAGGTCCAGCAGCTGCAGGGTGCGCTGCAGCGTGGACAGGCAGAGCGCCTCGCTGAAGGCCTCCAGGTGGTTGTTGTGCAGGATGAGCTCCGAGAGGCAGCCCAGGTCTCCGATGGTGGCGGGGAGTTTCTTGATGTGGTTGTTACTAAGGTCAAGCTTCCGGAGAGCTGCAAAAACAAAAATACCACAACTTAAGAAGGGCAATCAAGTTATATAATTTGCATTTACATAAAGTTGCATTTTTTTAAAGAATGGTAATTGAGACAATCAAATGTCTTCCCCAAGCTCATTAGCTCAGGATTAGTATGTTGTGTTTTGCAGTTGTTCCTTCTATAAATGTCTATAGTGGACATCATAACGTTTGAGGGAGGAATTGATGTGTGCTGCTCTATGTATTGTATCTTGTTGTGGGAAAAACTGAAAATCTAAATAAACATATTGCTTTAAAAATAAAAATAAATCCTACATTTGTCACTATGCTAATCATCAAGATCACTTTCCCAAACTTCCAAAAGCTTCTTCCAGTGACAAGACAAAACACAACCATTGTCAAAGAATATGTAGAAACTATGATAATTTCTGTAAACTGACCTCATTGGCTAAAATAGGGAAATAGCCCATTCAACATTTTCCATAAAAATAATTTGTGCATAAACAGAATGTAAATCGAGTTTTATCAAACTCAATAGGCATACATTATTTGTTTGTGTGACCCTGATCGCCTTACTCTACCTTTCAGGGACAGCATCCTCATGTCCACGCGGGACAGCTTGCAGTAGGACACCTGCAGCTGCTCCAGAGAGTAGGGGAAGCTGGAGGTGAGGGGGTAGTCCTTTTTGGAGACGATGCTGAGCTTCTTCTTGGGTTGCTCCACGTCTCTGGCACGAACAGGAGTCAGCGTGGAGAGAGGAAGGCTGCTGGCGTCACTCCCTCTGTCCGCCAGACGAGCAGCTGATAGGAAGTTCTTTAAGCTGTTTGCATCAGCCTGCAAATAAATAAATACATTACCTAACATGTGGATTTGTAGGTGAGAAACACAGCTCACTCACAGGTTCTCAGGTATGACCGGATTCCTGAAAATACCTGACCTATTTTCCTGTGATCTATCTTGACACACTTACTTTAAAAGAACATTATGTCTGCTAAACTAAATTCCCTTTTAACATTATGTATACAATTGTGAGTGTCATGTTAGCATTTAACATTCAACACTTATTTCATGTTTGGAAATGTAAACTCTGGGCTTTTTGAGGAATTTGAAATCATTAAATGTTTTATTTTTTATCTCAAGTCAACCTTTAATAAGAATTCCCAATACATGTGATACATTATTGTTCAAAATGTTATTATGCTATGGTCAGGACATGTTATTACAGTATTAGCCCAGCTATCACATTACTGGGTTTAATCCTGATCTGGTTAGCGGACATTTTTAGAATATTGCCACATATTTGGGTGATAAGTGTGTTCATTCAAAAGTATTTATGTACGTATTTACGTAATTTCCCACAGTTAGGGAACTAGTTTTCTCTGTCTACCTAAAGTGGCATTAGGCTGTTTGTGGGTGTGTGCGTGCTCTTCATTCAACGCGGCAGGTTGAAATATGTTAGAAGAATCTAGGCGAAAGGTCACCGCTGACCTCAAACAGCCAGGGCTTTACAGCGACTGAGAACAATGAGGCTGCATCAACAACCCAGTCACAACAACCCGATGTGCCTGTCTGGTGATGAATGAGCGAGTGGACAGTTTAGCTCTGGTCCATTTGCTTCAACAGAAACCTGAAAAACTTGCTCTAGGCAAAAAACAACAACCGGTCTTCACTTGTAACAACCTTTAAAATGTAGTTACAACATGTTGGATGGCATACCTTGCTCAAACAAATGTCCACAGCTGGTTCCTTTATTCTCACAGTGGCCTTGCCTTCCTCCACAAACCAAGTGAAGAACTTCTCTATGTTGTCTTTCAGCTGCAAGAGAAAGTTGGCAAATGTCAGTGATAGAAAATACATGACACAACAACGAGAGAGCTTTTCACTGTCTCAACAAGTGCAGACAAATACTGAAAGCTTTGAACAAGATGGTAAACATGCAGGTGTTTGTCTTGGCAGCTGTGAGTTTTAAATTGAGCACTCGAAAGCAACGTTTGAGACAGTGAAAACATACTCTTAGGGTTTTTAATCCATGTCTTTCTGGGAAAGATAATGATGAATAATATGAAAATGTGCTTTATCATATGACACAGGGGGTTGAGTTAATGAAACCAAAAGATATAATCCAAGTTACTGCAATGTGTTGTGACGCATAACATCAATGCTTCTGTGGCCGAGGGGGATGTGTATTGTTCGTCTGCTGTTGAGCCCCGTCAAAGGGGAATAGCATTTGCTTTATGACAATAAAGTGTAATCTTATCTTCTACCCAAACAATGCTCTTTAAGTCAACCACTGGCTGATTCAGGCAAATATTATCATTCTGTTTAAAAAAGAAAACTTCCTGTCAAATGCATGCTGGGAAGGGGTTTCAGTCCCATTCCTGGATGGATGGACTACATAAACATACCCTAAAAATAACAAGAACTTATCATTATTGGAAAAAATTAACATTCTTTGTATGTATGTACTTTTTACTCCACTAAATGTATTTAGTTACTTTGCAGATTTTCTTTAATGATTTGAAATATAATATATTTTAAAACTTAAATAAGACTTAAGTGACACCTAGAGTAAAATTCACAAAAGCTACCTGCACCTTTACCAGCTTTGATAACACTCTAATTCATTAATAATTACAATCAAAATATGTCATTTATATTATTCGGAATGGGAATGTTGATATATGTATGTTGATATGATGTATATTTGATGGTTATACTGATGCAGGACTTGTACTTGTAACAGAGTATTCCTACACTGATTACTTCTTCCATCTCTGGCAGCATCCTCACAGTTCAGACAGAGATCAGCAGACACTGACCTTGTACCTGGAGCCTGCTCTGTCTTTAGCTGTGCAGATCATCATGTAGATGTTGCTGCGATGACTCGTCTTATCCACATGTTTCCCGATGGACAGCACCGCCCTGACCCCCTTCCCTCGGTTCCTAATCCCAAACGAGGGGAGCATCCGATTCACCACCTCCACATCACACTGCAGCTTCATCGCAACCGAAGACTTAATAAAAAAACAAACACTTAAAGATCCGGCCTAATGCCGAGTCAGAGGAGATGTGTTAAATGCATACTGGAGAAGAAACAGAAACTTCCGCGAAATAAGTAACGTCATGGAGCTTAGAGACACATCTTCACGGATGTCAACAACAACCAGAGCTGGCGTCTCTACCGGGCAGCAGCAGCTCCTGGACGCCCGTGAAGACACGACATACAGCGGGGACACTTTGAGGCTTCACCGGGCAGCTACCGGGAGCCTATCGGTATCTTGACGGAGAGTAAAATCTGTGGGACAGGTCTTCGTTGGCTGCTGGTTAGCTACGGTTAGCATGATCGGGCGCGCGCAGGAAGTGACGTCATGGAATAGCTGGTTAAACCCAGCGCGGGATCCGTTAGCAGGAAAGGGAAAAGACAGACGTGTTTTTAATGGACTAAAAGGGAGTCGGGACTAAAGGCTTTATTTACTCATTCACTGTAGGACAGTACAATGTTGAGTTGTTGTACTAACATGTATATTTACAATATACTTAACTACATTTTCAAGGCTTTACTTTTTGTTAGTTTTAACAATTATATGAACAAAATGAAGAAAAATACCGACTATTACTATTATTATAACAACAAACAAATAAACCAACAAAATAAATGAATATGTCAGTGACTTATTCAGACCAATGTCTGGGTATACTTGAGTGACTGACATAATTGTTTAGTCACAAATGTGAGATAATCAAAAGTAACAATTACAATTAATATCTTATACACATAATGGATTTGTATTAATATTTTTTAAACAGTAGTTTAATATACTGTATGATATTATAACATTCTTCAATTAGTTTGGTCTGGTGGCCTGATATCCAAAAAACAAAATGTCTTGTTTCATTTTTCGGTTTGTCTAAATACGTTTATATATTTTGAAATCGTGAAGATAACAATATTTCAGGTCCCAGAGAATGGTGACGACTTGCCTAACCAGAAAAAGGGGGATTTGAGATGTTATTCACAAAAACATGTCATACTTCTTTTCTTCCCTCTTATTTTTTTATTTACATCCTGTATGTTGCCTAGATGACACTCGAACAACACGCTTTAAAGCTTTTGATTTCATAAATGGTTTATTTAAACCAACAACCCTCCGTCTAGAAACAACAATGGAAAGCTAAGGTTTGTCTGAATGTCAGTGTTTCTTTGTAGTTGTACATTTGTACTTGAGTCTGAGAGTGTCTGACATCGTCTCCTCACATCAAAGATCACAGGAGAAACTTAGCTCACTCCTTCCAATTCATTTTCAGTATGAACACACACAAGGATGTGCATTCGTTAGCAACCTTAAACTAAAATAAAAAAACGTGCCACATGCAGTGATATAAATTATGCATTTCATTAAAGTGAATTAAACCCCCACAATCCTGTCCTGTTAGATGACTCATCATACTATTTTCATATTTTTTCGCATTTGAAAGTACTTGCTTCAATCTGACAACTTATACAATCATTTTTGAGTATTTTTTTATTGCTAACACACGTCTTTGGTTTCACTATTAATCAACTAAAAAAGACAATACATTTAGTAACAACATGCAACTTCTAGTCTGAGATATGCCTCTAAGTTGCACACATCTTTAACATATAAAAACACCAACATAGTCAATGTAGAAACTGGTTAAGATTTGCATCATGTGTTTTTTCAGAAATATAAGAAACAGTGGGATGCAGAGGTCGTGCATTTTTCATGTATCAGTGTTGTGTGCACCATTTAGTTAAGTTTTTATTTGTGTCATCATACACACTGTAGTGTGAGTAGACAGAGTGTAGCTGCTACAAAGGCTGTATGACAATGCAGAGGTGATTTAGATACACGAGTACACCCTGCATTTCCCACATTTCACTGTAATAATATGGACATGTGCAATTCAATACTCTGACCTTTTGGTGACTTTGTTAAAAAATAGAGGTTTGTATTTAGAAGGATAGTTTATAATGCTTGTAGTGGGGTTTCATGAAGTACTTATCAATAGTCAGTGTATTACCTACAGAAGATGGCAGAGGTCACACCCCCAGTTGGGAGAAATAGGCCCACCTGATAACATCAATATCAGTATAAGTGAACAATATATTTTGAGTAGTTTCAGCGCTTAACCTGACTGCCCTTTCAGGTGAAGAACAGAAGCCGTCGTCCATGCCCTCTTCAAGGCCACCAAATTTAAGTGACAGAAACAACACATTTACCTTGCACAACACAGGAGTTGTTGGGCAACAGCTGCCTCGATTGGTTAGTAATTTGTATTATTGTGTAACTTTGGTTAATTTAGATTGACTAAAGTCACCCAATAACAGAGACTGACCGACAGTTACTAAGATGTATATTATATTATATGTAGTCTATGCCAGCATAGACTAGTCTGGTGGCTTTAAAGAGAGAAAAGATAACAGCTTCAGTTACCTGTAAAAAAGGGCAGTCGCCGGAAAGGTAAAGGGGTACAAAATATTCTATATGATTATTTTAGTTGGCTTAAATATGTTTTGATAATGGCACAACAGTTGGCTAAATTGCTTACATTTTTGCTACTCTGTGCCGACCCCATCTACTGTAGCTAATACACTCTGTGTGAATTATTCAATCGTACAACCCTACGTCCAACAATCAAAACTATCACCTTGAACCTTTTTTATATGTGGAATTTTTTGAAACAGCTCCATAAATCAAAAATGTCATTCTGTCTATAGAGCAAACATGTGAATCCATCTTGGCTCATCAATAAGTGTCCTAGTGTCCTTCACAGATCCGTCTCTACAAAGGACGACCCTCTTCGTATATAATATCGCCTCACTTCCCTCCCGTCCTCACCCCCACAGCCCTCAGGCCTATGCACGATGAGCACAGGGAAGAAGCGGGCGTCCCTATAGGTGGGCGGACTGTCGCTGAGGGCCAGCTGGCTGGAGTCAGACCTGCAGCACGGCTCCTCCACGCAGCAAGGGTCCGTCAGGTTGCTGCTGCGGCTCCCCCACAGAGCCATGGTGCGGTGGGAGCCGTACATGCGGCAGAGAGAGAAGCGGGAGGTGTCCGAGGAGAGGTGGGAGTGTAGCAGCGCTCCCCGGCAGGAGAAGATGGAGGAGCAGCTGGAGCTGGTGACGAACCTCCTCCTTCCTCCTCCATCACCTCCTTCAGTCGGCTCCCTGCATTGCTCGCAGTCCTCCTGGCTTTGCAGGGCGCCGTAACTCTGAGCAGTCTGGCTGCCCTCGAGGAGGAAGCCGTTTGAGGAGGAGTTGCATTCAGTGTCTGGTAAGGAGTTAGAGTCGGCTGTGCTCATGTTTATCAGTATAGCCTCAGAGTAGCTAGGGATCACCTGGCGGTTACAGCGTATGTGCCACTCCATCTCAGTGCTGTCCAGTGTGTCTACTCTGGGAATAACACACCCAGTATTAGGCGTGTCTTCATCGAGAGGAGACGGGCTGTACTCTAACCCGAATAGTTTCTCTATGCGGTAGTGCACATAGGCAGTGCGGTACTCTATCAGCACTCTCAGAGGCCACGACAGCATGAGCAGAGCTGCCAGCCAGAAGGCGACCTGCGAGCTGTACCAAGGCAACCGGTCAGGGTCCACATAGGCTATCAGGTTTTCTCTGAAGTCCACGTTCTTCAGCTGCATGCCCTCCCTGGCCTCCATGTAATCGTCCAAACCCTCGATTTCAGAGAAGAACCTGGCTCTCTGGTTGAGGTAATCGTTTTCTGGCCCGGCCTCTGTGAAGCTGAAACATTTAGTGAAGCGCAGGCGAGTCGCCGGAAGTCCCTCCAAGCCCATGAGGTCACATGACACATCTTTCATCCCGCAGCGGCCGAAGTCAAACTCTCCCTCGGCCACATGCGTGTTCACCCTCTCATGGTACACCTGCATGGTGGTGTAGGCGTCTCCATTGCGATATCGAGTGACCTGACGGGTCCGACGGACAAAGTGGTAGCTGATGGCCTTCCACCAAATGCAGGGTTGGGCCTGTCTCATGCGCAGCATGCGCTCGTACACGCTGTCCACGTCTGCTTTGCTCTGCAGCTCGCTCCTCGCTCTGCAGTGCCAGCACTCCACCATGTATAAGACGTAGAGCATGAGCAGGAAGGCCAGAGGGATGTAGATGTAGCCGTCAGAGCAGGGGCTATCATGGTAGATCATTGAGTGTCCGCTGACACCCATCCCAGAGGCGCCCCGCAGGGAGGAGGTGAACGAGGCCGAGAATGAGGAGGTGAGGGCCGAATTGAAGCTGATTTTGGTGACCCGGGTCAGCTGGCACCAGGCCACGGCGCCCAGGCAGCTGTACATGAGCAGAGAGAGCAGCAGGCAGCGCCAATGGGACTCCCGGCACACACAGGAACCGAGGGACTGCTTCACAGGATGCTGCTGCAGAGAGAGAGAAAGAGTAATGAGGAAAAGGCACTCAGAGCAATGAGGCCATTAAACCTGGCAAGCAGTAGAAATGCAAATGAACGGGGCAGCACTGACCAGACTTTCCTATACCTAAGCATAAAGTAAATCAAAATAAAGAAAGCGCAGTGGAGTTCACTCAACCACGTAGTGTCCCTGGGAGGCTGTGAGTCAAAGCAGCCGACATAAATAAACATAAGGTGTTTTCACACATCTATCTCTGAAATTAATTGAATTTATATTGCCTGAGGGAGAAATGTGCTACTACATTTGACACAGTAATATTCCAGGGTAACACTATTCGAAATGAAAACCCAATGGTAGAAATTAGTCATGCAACTAATGAATGTTTCTATTATCGATGTTTCTGCAGATTGTATACTAGATTCATCCATTAATGTCAGAAATAGTGAAAATGTCCATCACAGTTTTTGCCCAATATTATGTATTTTCAAATTTCATTTTGACTCAAATGTATTGACTCATATTTAACGTAACTATATCTAATTTGAGCTATCTCTGGGCGTTCTGCTGCATACGTAGTCTTTTTTAATATTTTCAATTATTGTATTATTTTGACTTGAGTAAAATTTGAAATACTATTGTACAGCATGTTCTTTATGTTTTTATTGGATTGTTGTCTATAGATAAGTTGCATTTTCTGCTTATGTTGTGGGCTTTTTCGTCTTTTACCCAAGAAATAAATCGAAATATTTCTCCCAGCACAGCTTAAAACAAACACACATGTTGAAGTATTCAGATTTTTTTCAAGCATCTCTGCTCTACACGTATCTGCTGAGTATTTGGTGGATAGCTCGGGGCAGAGAAACAGAAAGTGCTCACACTTGCAATACTGACCACAGGTTTAATTGTCCCATTCACACTTGCCTAAAGCTATTTAATCAGTAACACAAACTGTAAAATATGCTGGTGCGTAACCCTTTATCATTACAGAGATCAAAATATTGCAACATTTAATGTGTGAATCTTCAAGGAGGCTAGTTTAGGAATTCAAAATAAATGTGATCCCACCTTCAAAAAATGTTTTCTCCAAAAGACTATGATATTCTTTGATATTTTGTCCTGATCTTGTGGTGGCCATGCTCCTCATGAGATCCTGTGTTCTTGTTGGCTACCTCTGGTGTTTTATGGAGTGAAGCAATTTATGCTGACAACCAGCCCATCCATTACTGCGCTGACACAGGGGTGGGATGTCTCTTTGCTGGTTCCACCTCGGTTATGTATGGGGAAAACAGGGATGCATGTCTTTAGTACCAGAAGATGGACTTTCCAGTTGTCCAGGCTTTCTGACTGCAGATTGGACAGATTGTAACACTGTTAGATGATGTTGTTTTATCATGTTTGTAAATGCAAATCTAGCCCTTCAATTTAACGTTAAACTAATTTAACTAAATATGCGGGCAGATGCATATCTGCAGTAGGAATTAGCCGTTACATGGACACTGGATCTGATGTAAGACAACTCGTGCTCTCTTACTATCTGTGCATGGCTGGCTGCACAGAGCCAGTCCCCCAGATGGAATCAAAGTAATAACTCTATGACAGTAAAGTCTGAGGGCATGAAGGAGCAAACACAGACATGCATCTAAAGATCAACACTTAAAATCATGGATATGACTTTATTTATTTATTATTGTATATTATACAATATTTGCAGCTTAAGAACTCTCTTTAGGAATAAATTGAATGCATTATGAGAATATCTATCCATGGATTCTTGTGTCACTGAAATTGATTCTTCTCACGAGCAGAGAGGCTGTTTGGCTGCAGGTGGAAGGTTGCACTGAGAGGATGTCAATCCTCTCTCAGTGCAAGTACTCCGGTGTGAACGCGCCTATAATAAAGGATTTATGTTTCAAGAGGACACAGAGATCCGAATGCATAGGATATAAATCCAAATTTGGAAGGAATTTTATACAATAAGCTTGATGAACTTGCATCTTCAATTGGGCTTATTTGCATTGCACAACAACAATGTTTATGGATCAGAATGTATTTTAATTATTAAAAGTAATCAATTGATCAGAACTATTCATAGCTGATATTTCAAAGGCTTTTGTTCAAAATTCTAAATGAACGTGAGGTATGTGTACACCTACCTCCTCCGGGACATCACTCTCTGCCGGTGAGTCCTGCTCATCCTCCTGCTCCTCTTCCTCAGCCTCAGTGAGAGCAGCGTTGACCGCCGTGGCCTCCGCAGAGTCCGGCTCGGAGGAGAGCATGCTGCACTTTTTCGCATGTCAGAGACAGATTATAAACTCACTCCTTTTTCTTCACTTGCACTAGCTGTCTTGCTCCCCCTTTGTGCGCCCCCTTCAGCTCCACGGCGTCTGGGCCGGAGCCAGCGGGCTGCTGCTGCTGCACGGAGCGGGGGTCCCGCGGTGGTCCCGCCTGGCCGGGCACAAGGGGGCGGGGTTGAGGGATTTCACCGCAGCAAAGACAGCAGCAGTTAACCATGATGCAGTCGGCGAGCTTGTTGTCAGTGGCCAGTTTAAATTACCTAATTACATCCATAAATTACTGCACAATGTTCATCCAGATGCACGAGCGTTCTACGCGTTACACGACATAAAATAGCGACGATTCGTTAAACTGTTCACCGAAAATGCAGATAAAAGGCGTATGCTTTCTAAGACATAAAATTACCTAAGAATATTTAGGATAAGGGGGTTGTTGAGGAAAAAATGTCGAGGTCGCTTCGCTTTCCTGTCTATCTATCCTGGTGGAGCTTTTGTTTTGAAGGTGCAGCGGGGTGTCACATTAAAAATCTTCCGTGTTGGTCAAACGAGAGTTGTGTATCACCACGGAACCAGCACTCAACTGAAGGTTAGCTTGCACAAATGTGACATATTTTAACACAATAAAGACTTCAACATTTTAATTAAAATGTTTGGTGTTGAGTTGGATAACTTTAGCTTTCGCTGAGTGAGGTTTGAGATTTCAAGCTAACGTTAAATGTTCCGTTCAGCCCCGGTGCGTGCTGATGTAAACTAACCTACACGTGAAAACGGGAAAGCAACACTAAACAGGTAGCTAGTGAGCTAATGTGAGACATAAGTAATTTATTTGTTTAAGTTGTTAAAGTCGGTAGTTTTCTGTCATTTTTACACTACTAGATAACGGGAGTTACGCTTAAGATTATTAGCCATGCTTAATGTATCCTCACGTTACCCAAAAGTATAGAGAGATAAGTTAATATTGAATTGACAGTATTTTCTTAAAATGATTATGTTCAATATGCCAGAATGGAATTCAAATGTCTATGTATCTGTCAACAATGGCGTAACACAGTTATTTTGTGGGCAGCTTTGGGCCCCTAAATCATCACAACGTATCACTCCTATATCCTATACTACTATACTCGTGTCAAAGTCGGTTTCCTCCACTGTAACGGCTAGGTCAGGTAATGCCAAATGTTGGAGAGGTTGGATTCATGTACCAGTATAGAGAGACACAAACGGATAGGGGAAATTAGAGTTTGTCAAAAAAAACGTCTTTATAATCATCTTTTGTGTCTTTCAGAGTGATGTTGCGGCGTCCTAAGCCAACTGACTCTGAGGCAGACGTCCTCAGAGATCAGGAGAAGTTTCTGACCTCTGGTGCTCCGTCTGCTGCCAGTGTGGTCCGCCGTCCTGACAAGAGGAGAGGCGAGGCTGGAGGAGGAGGGGAGCATAACGGGAAGAGTGATGAAGAAAGACAGAAAGATGTTGTCACTATAGAAGGTAAGAGATCGGTCTGTTTTAAAAATAATTGTAACAACTAATTGACAATGTTCCTTAAACTCTAAATGAGGCATGGTAGTAGTCAACATTAATAATTTACACACTTCTCCGAGTGGACTATATCTATCAATCAAACTTTTTTTGTACACCGTACATACAATTATTTAAATATCTTCTATGTTTCTTCAAGATCTTCCAGACGAACTCCCGTCTCTGACGCCAGCCCCTCCGAAGAAGTCTCGCTTCAAAACTGGTTGTGTCACTTTTGAGGATGAGGATGCTGGGGAGAGGCTGGACAAATATGACACTCACGTCAGCGCTGTGCTCTCCAGGATCGTTGTAAGTACTTGTTGTTAAATATGAGAGTGGGAAGTTTAAATCAGTGACTGTATGCTAAATGAAATAGCCTATTTTCTCTGTTGGACATATTTAGGTATACATACATACATCCAGTTTGTCCCTTACACTTTGTTGAACTGCTTTTTTCAGTTATCCAAGCTGGCTGATATCATATTTAGCTTGACAGTTTGAAATATCATAATGTTTTACTGGCCGAATCAATAACATTATTATTTGTTTTCAGGAGAGAGATACCAGCTCGACTCCAATATCTCTACCAGCATTTACAGGCATAGCTTTTCCCAAAGTAATGCACCGCTCAGAAAACAGCAGTCAGGTAAAAAGTTATTATTCCTATTCTTTATCAAAAGGTGTGATTCTGAGTCTTAAAGTGTCTAAGACAATTTAACCATAAAGCTAAAACACACGAAGAAATATCTGTATGTACAGAAATACTGCATTCATTTTAATTCTATTGTTAAATGTTATTCTTGCTTACTACTAGGTGCAACAATCTTCAGCTGGTGGAAAGAAGAGTATCTTTGCTCTTCAGATTGCAGCTCAGAGACTCAAGGAGGGAAAGGCACCTTTACATTGTGAACCTAAAGCTCCCCACACACCTGAACACAAAGAGCAGAACCTGCAGCCTGAGAGCAGCATGGATACAGATGACAGTAAGTAAATGCGATTCATCTCATAAAGTGAAGTGTAGGATCTGTAGGATATGTAGGATCCTCTGGTGGTCAGTTGAATGGATCCCAGGGAAATACAGAAACAAAATGACAAACTTTGAAACCAATTCTATTTGAATAAATCAATACCTTTTTATACCTTGCAGTGCTCTGGAGTTTTGGATGTTTGGATCACACAAATAGAAAGATTACTACGTGGCTAGTACTGGAATCTATTACCAAATAGAAGGATAGTACTGCCATAGTTGGCGTTAAAAAAATCTATCTAGCCCTCTTCACATTACATTTTTCCTCTCTCTCCTTCCAGGTCCCAGCCTGCTCTCTGGTAAGGGGCTCGGGGTCCCAGACATCTCAGGAGAGACGATGAGGATCCACAGGGAGAACCAGGAGAAGCTCCAGACCATGTCCAAGTCTGAGATACTAGAGGAGCAGAGGAGACTTTTAACTCAGCTCGGTAGGCAATGATGTTGTCCACATGATAGTTAAATAAAATGATATACAGTATGTTGTGATGAAGACATGATATGTTGTTGAGTTTATATCTTATCTAGTAAAATACACGAGAACTTTTTTTCTTCTTTTTGTTGGTACTTCTTCTTTTAACAAGATTATTTCCGCTTCCCAGATCCTACACTGGTGAACTTTGTTAGGTCTCGAAAAGCCAAGAGCGTCCCGTCCTCTGCCTCCGCATCTGAAAAACAACCCCAGGGCAAAAGTAGCAGGGACAATTTTCCTCTTGAAAATCTGAGCAGAGAGTCAGACTCCTCCAGCGCATCTCTGCCACTTCAGAAACCCCAGGAAGTAGAGATGGAAGGAGAGGAAGTGCCACCACAACCACCACCTGCTGTGAGAGGTACGATGTATTCAAAACCTTTTTATCTGGTCAGTTGTTCCTGATCCCCTGCATGTGAATGACTACGCTATATTATATTTCATATCTCGTTCATCCTCCTTATCATCTATTTAAATTACTGTGGTGTAATAGAATGAAAAACATTATCTTACAACTTTTTTCACTCCATATATTGAACAATTGTTGATGATCCTCCCAGTGAAAAGCATGTATCTCCAGATATGGGGATTTTAAAGGTTAATGATGAACTGAAGGGTGACATTTTACATTCTCTTACTTATTAAGAGAAATAACTCATTTAAAAAGCCTCTAGATTAGCTGGAATAAGCATCGTCACAAAGATCAAAAGCTTTTTTTCTCTGACATTACTATTATTATTTATTACATTTTATTTTGTACACCCCTGGACATAATTACTGCACTTTATTCCTTATTCCTACATAAGTATGTATGCTGCGTGTATTTCTTGTCTTATGTTGTTTTTGTTTTGATGGCACCTTTTAAAAGGGAGAAGCTTTTCTTCTTTCATTGTACATGTATAATGACATTAAATGATTCTATTCTATCCGTGGTTCTCAAAAACAGGGTGAATATTCAAGAATAACTGAAATTGTTACCTTGTTGCTTAGACAGTCAAATTATTCAACTAGAGGCATATTTTGAGGAAAAAGTCATCTGTGTGTCTTCATCTCCCTCTTGATGTATCTTCCTCACCTGATGCTCCCTGCTCTCCCTCTCCTCTTCCTCTCAAGCATCCCTTCTCTGATTGTATAATTAATTTGTGATGATTCTGCTGCATGGATAAAATCCCGACATTAAGCTGGTCATTGACTTCACTTTGTGTGATTAGCAGAAAGGCCGGACTGAGCCAGAAGTAGCCACTCACTGCAATTAAGTTACTGCAGATCATTCAAAGAAAACTCCCAGCTCAGTGTTCCTCATGGAGTTTTTATCATCTTTTGTCCACCTCATCTTGTTTTTAAATTAAGCCTTAGTTGACTTAGTTGTCAGGTCTTTATTCTTGCAACAAAAACTAAAAAATACATGCAGGATTGTTTTCGTCCACGTTGAACATTTTCTTGCTTTTAATGAGAGATCGTTTTTGTCCGTATTGATCTGTTGTGACATGTGTGGTCTCCCCAGAATTCATATTTGTGTATTAAAGCAGATTTACTTTAACTGGAGAATAGAAACATCTGCACCCCTACTGAAAATGTATCTCTAATGTCTTCAGGAGGAAGCACATGTGCTGTTACTGTGCTTTCATATAGTCAGTAATCACTAGTTTGTGTTTACAGTTGTAAAGTAGTGGGAGTTCTCTATCTGGGCTGGCTAAAACAGACGACAGTTGTACCAAATTAAACTTCACACATGATTGCTAAGACTTGCTGTTTCCTTCTCTGTGTGAATCTAGAGCAGGATCTGCTGCTGAAGCCTCAGAAGACATGGGTCCACATGGATAAGGCGGAACCGGAGAAGCTGGAGTGGATGAAAGACTTGCCTGCACCCAGAAGGAAAGGAACCAAGAAGGTGCAGAGATATGTCTTACAATACCAGTGGATGACATTTTCATTGATTTAAATTCAAATCTTGTATTTAAATACGATTTTCTGCATTGAGTCAACACATTGTGTGTTTCTGTTTCCGGATGCAGGCCATGCAAGCTCGGTTTGACTTTGCAGGGACTTTGATTCCACCAACGCAGGATCTGCCCACTCATTTGGGCCTGCACCACCACGGAGAGGAGCCTGAGGTCAGTAGAGAATACATAACAAACTATTTTATAAAATATATAGAACATCTTTAGTAGGGCTGCTCGATTATGGCAAAAATCATAATCTCGATTATTTGGGTCAATAATTGTAATTGCGATTATTAAATGCGATTATTCATTATTCATTTTTTTAACAGTATGTTTTTAACAGTTGATTACCCTGAACTTTAAGTATAATTCAACTGAAAAACCAAAAAAAAAAATATATATATAAAAAATACTAATAATAAAAAAATAATCGTTTTATTTCGATTATGTTGTTTTCGTAATCGTTGCCAGCCATAATCGTAATCGCGATTATAATACGATGAATTGAGCAGCCCTAATCTTTAG